ACCAAGATACAAAGGTTACATCCAAGAGAATTAAAGAAAGAAGGTTTGTCTGGACTGCAGCAGAAAAAAAAAAAAAGGGATAACAAACTTTAAAGAAACTTAAATTTGTTTTGTTGATTACAGAAGTAATTCATGTTTATTGCAGAAAAATTGAATCTTCACATAAACAACTACATTTTCTTACTAGTTTTTTTCTGCGCATGTTTATGTGTACATGTCTAAGCCATTTACATGTTATAGTCATGTATGACATTCATATATGACATATGGTCTAGATCTTAAATCTTATTTTTTCATACTTTCCCCACTAGTACATTTTCTTTTAAGGCACATTCTTTATCACGGTATTCAGGAAAATTTAAGATAGGTTCAATTTCTTACTGGTGTAGATAATGCTGTAATTAATATCTTTGTACATATCTTCTTGTGCATTTTTGGTGAATGTCTTAAGATAATTACTAGACATGTATTTGTGCTCTGGAAAAGTTATACATATTGAAACCCTCATCAACAAAGAGTGAATGAGAGCAGAGCAAAATTTAAATTTATTAGTGAAGTAGGAATGGTTATTGTGAGATGAGAATTTCCTTGAGATGATTTACTCAACTCTGTTTTTCAAGAGTTCATCTCTTTAGCTTAATTCCAAAGATGGTGCAAACCATTGTAAATAATCTGATTTTACTTTTTTACCGATTTAAGTATTGTATACATATAAGTTTGGGTTTATTAGTACATTTATGATCAGTATTGTTATTCAGCCTGGACTTTGAGTCTTGGTCATTAATATCGTGTAATATTCTTTCATATTAATTCAAATACCTCTAATACTAGGCAGTTGACTAAGCTTGGGTTTTAGTAAATTAGAAAGGCTTTGCTTTATTCAATTTATGTCACCTTATGTATCACTGTATAGTGACAGCCACATACATCTACATGTCAGAATTTTGTCAGTGGCAGCCATTTTCCAAAGCTGGGGAGTCTGGAAATAAAATAGTGTCAAAGTGACTGTGGAACTTCCAGAATAACAATCCCAACGCCAGTGCACTTCATTTGTTAGAAAGATATGTCTACAAAATAAGCTACATATCAGAAGATGTAGGTATACCTTAACAAAAAGAAGTGATAGCCAAGAGGAGTAATGAACAGAACAAGAGACCAGTTAAAACAGGAATAAGAATATTATTTTCTGTGACTCTCCAAGACAACACACTTCATTGATGAGTATTTATAACTCTTATTTGAGACCATTGAGGGGATGCTATATTGTGATTAACATATGTTCTTTAATGTGGTAGAACAATGACCATTGTAGAAAACTGTCATGAAAATGATTATATTAAAAGCACATTTGGAGATTTAATAGACAAATTTTAGTTTTTTATCAAGTTGACTTAGGCAGTATATATCAGTTCACAGTGAATAAGTCTTCAGAGTCCAAAGCCTGACATTTTTCTTGTAATTCAAAATGTGATTTGAATTATGGTTATATATAAATCAATCTCTCTGTGTGTGTGTGTGTGTGCACGCGCGTGCATAGACAGAGAGCATAAATGGTTAGGGTTTTGGCACTGATATCATGACTTAGTAACCAGTTAGGACCCACAATCTGTCTAGAGCTAAATGGTTCAAGAGTTAGTTAATTCCCTGGCACAGTGATGTCATCAAGAACCTGGGGGCTTTCCATCTTTCTGCTTGCTCCTTCTGGTCACAAGATAACAGGCATCACATTGTCAAATAAATAGATGTAAAGACAAATGGCACTTTTTCCTAGTATGTATCTGTGCATTCTAATTAGAGGGAAGGAAGTCTTTTTCCCAGAAGCTCCTCTTCTCCCAGGAGACTTCCCGTTGGCCTCATTCAGTGTTCGAGTTCCACCATAACCCATCCCTAAACTAATCACCAGCAAGGGAAATAGAGTTACAGTAATCGATGCCATGATTGACATGGAGGAATGAACAGTTGCTTTCTGGGGCAAGGGAGGGGACTTATTGCTCCTGAGATGGTGGCAGGCTGAATGTTGGAATTGATTCCAGCTCTCCCAACAAGGAAGGAGTGGTGAGTAAAGCTGCTGGACAGCTAGCCAAGGATATTTGCTATATTAGCCAGCGTATTTGGACTGTACTCCTGTTATAGTATTAATACCATTTGGCCTTTTTAATCATTATTTGTGAGCTTATTTTATCAGTTCGGCAGCTTCTAGACTCCTTAAGGATGGGACAGACTATGTTCACCAGCACATGGAGTAGTACCTGGCCCTAGAGTGTACTTAATAAATATTGACTCAATTGATTAGAACTGGTCCATGCCAATTGATTAAAAGCTTTTCTTTAAAAATTGATTCTAAACTCTTTAAAATCAAGTTATTTGTTTGAATATTGACACGCTTCCAGTAAAGTTATGTTTATTCATTCCAGAAAATGATTAAGGGGCCTTAATCATAAAGGTACTGGAATAAAGTTACCATGGGTGTGTGTAGTATAAACCCTGCAAAGACTGTTTACAATTCTGTGTGGGTGTAGGAAGAAAAAAGGATTCAAATATAAATATGAGTGGGAAAGAAAACTTGTTTTGAGTCCATTTTATGCATCTGTTAACATTTTAAAGAGTATGCAGTACAATTTATCATCTTAAAGATTATGAGGTGAAAGAAATGACTTCTATTTAAAATCACTGCAACTCTCTATTTGAAGCTCCATTAGTAGGGCTTTTTGGGAAAACAAATTACTTAAATACTTTCAAATTTAGTCCATTTTTATGCATACCACATAATTTCGTTTAAAAATCTTTTTCCATAGACTGAGATCAAAAGACCAGATTTTGATTACCAATGTTGTGTGAAGTATAAAGTCAGCATTCCATGTCCTAATTTGTTTTATAATATAAACATTCTTCAAAAATTTATCTTTTTTAATGTAAAGAATTTTTCATATAAACTTTCCTTCATTTGGTTCAGGTTTCAGTGATTGTACATGTTTATAAATTTTCATTTTACCAACTGTTTTAACTGATGTATAAACTTCCTTTTTCAAAAAAGATTTGAGATAGTATAATTTAAATTTTCTCTAAAAACAAATATAGTCCTTTTTTGCTTGCCAAATGGTGAATTTGTGTGACTAAACGAGCAGTTTGTTCCTTATTCAAGAATATTCATTCATAATATATTGTCTCAAGTGAAAGGAAAACTTAAGTTTCATTCAACACAAAGACATGAATGATTTTTAAAGCATTTTATTGTCTGCTAATGGTACTTTTTTAGTTACAGAATTTGCTATGTTAAGTGATTATAATCGAAAATCATTGTGTTCTTGTGTCATTCCTGAAAGCAACTGAAGTATTTTTCCCCTCTCATATTCTGATCTTTTAATCCTGAAAAAAATAGCAAAAGGAACAATTAAAATAATTTACAAATGTTCCTAGTAAGTACCATTTACAAAACATGTATGCCTTCAGTTTTGTCACAACAATGTGCAACCATTTAAGTTGAACTCTATAATTTCCAAAGTTTCTTTGTTATTTCATTGTCAATAGATATGAAGTGTCCATGAGGGCTGCTTCCACCTTCAGGATACTTAAAGCCTATTATTTTATAATAACTATTGCTACCTTTTTGGGGGGACTTCTTACATGTCAGGCTCCAAGCTTATCACACTATTTTGTTTTCCATAAAAGAACTCTAAGAAACTATCAATGCTTATACTCGAATTTTACACATAAAGAAACAGTTTTAAAGAGTTCAAACTATCTACCCAAAATCACCTTTCCATAAATAGCTTTGTCAAGATGTGAGCACATTATGAAGTTCATGTATTAATTATTAATAAAGAGATAAATAAATGCATTTTCTATGCACAGGGACAACACACACCTTAGACTAGAATAGCCAACAATAGGCACCAGATTACTTGGGATTCAATCAATTTTCAAAAATTCTGCTTTATATTTTCCATAAACATGCTCACAATTATAAAGCCATTTATGACATATTACGATTTTTTAAATTCAGAAACTATAGTATCTATAATTGGATGGAGACTTAAAAATGATCTGATTTTGTGATCTTCCCCCATTTAAAAGAAAATAAAATACCCATACATTTGAAGTAACTTTTACAATACTGCCTATTCTTTGAGGGCAAAGCCAGAGCTGGAACTTAGGTGTCCCGGCTTCTTATCCTGGTCATTTTCACCTAAATTCTCTCTGTTTATCAGAGGCAAATCATCAATAGCATGTATAAATTGGAATTACAGTTGGATACATATACATGATTGAATCACATAGTCTTGTACACATAGCAGTAAGAGTTTATGGATGTAGATTAAGGTGGTTTTGTTGACTATTCCCATTCTTTTGTAAGAGCTACCTGTAATGGAAGATTTAGTGCTAAATTGCAGTAACTTCTTGCTAAAAGCTTACTCATCTATACAATCCCAGTACAAAAAAACAAAAACAAAAACAAAAAAAAACTAACAGTGTGTTTAGCCTCCTCCAAGTTAGATTGAAAACTGCTGGAAACAGGAAATCTTACTTTATGCTTTTTGAAGAGATTTCCCAACTACTTTTTGTAGTCTGTTCAGATATTTGCACTCTCAAAATTACCCACTCCCTCTTTTCTTAAGCCTTCAGTGCAACTTTAGCCTATTCTTGCTGGTCAAACCTTTGAAATATAAGAAGAATTGATAGCCTCTTATACTGCTGCCCTTAAACTTAATAGGATTTAGTAATATACATTTCTATAAATGGGTTTTGGTAATACATATATTCTGGTAGAAATTCAGTAATGGTAAAATTGAAACCTGCCATAAAAACTGTGATCTTAATTACCAAGCCGTTTAGATGAAAGATATATTTGTTTTTAATATAAAAGTATAGCATATTGCTTGGACTAATAGACTCATATACCTGTAACTACTGCAACTCTAGAACCTTGGTTGTTTGGAGACCTTAGAACTCTGGGGCCAATTTTGCTGTACCATTTTCACAGGATTTGCACTGTAGTAGCTTCAAGATATACTCACCACTTCTTCCCGCTTGGTCTTGTCTGTTGCTGGCCAAGCTTCCAGAGGCAGATCAGGAAGCATGGGAGGCAGGGGCTGCATGGGGAACATCGGAGGCAGAGGTGGCTGTGGCGGCAGGGGCTGCATGGGGTGCACAGGTGACTGGGGCTGCATGGGCTGGTGAGGCTGTGGCTGAACAGTCTGGGGCTGGAAGGGCTGCTGGGCGGGCGGAGGGAGGTTTGGCTGGTGGTGTTGGGTTGGAATCATGGAGTGTTGGCCAGGAACGGGCATCATTGGTTGCTGGGGGACCACGGGCTGCTGAGCTGGCACCACTGGGATGTGGTGATGAGGCTGCAGGGTGTGAGTCGGGGGGTGCTGTTGGGACAGCACAGGGATGATTTGGTGGTGCAGCCATCCACCCATGGGCTCGTAACCATAGGAAGGGTACTGGTGAGAAACAGAGAGGCAGGTTTACCATTGGCTCAGGTGACTCCAACCAGAGAAGCAGCAGTGTTTTCTTTACCATTATGGCCTTAGGAATATTTTATTCATTTTTCCTTTGCAAAAATTTGTAACTATGTAAACAGATATGATTTTTTTTTTTTTACAAACTAAATTTCCTATTAGTGTCAGTATGTGGAGTAGACATATTTCACTTAATATGGGAATTTAAATGCATGCCTAATATTTTCAGGGAATAAAGAAGAAAATATCTACGTACCGCTGGCCTTATCATGCTTTGGTACCACTTCAAAGGGGTAAGCACCTTAAGAGAAAGAGATATTAGAATACATTTGATTTCATTTACTTTCATCCAATATAGAAACTCACTGATGCGGTATGAAATATAGACTCACTAATCCAGTCCTGTCAATATTGATAGCCTGAGAATGAGTTCTACAAAAGAAAGAAGAAGGTAAACATTTGTCGGGTGCTTCCTGTGTGTCAGGCACTGTGTTTACATCCATCACACACATTCTTCATGAGGCAAGTATTATTACTCTCACTTTCTAGATAAGGTCATGGGGATTTAAAGAGGTTCATTAACTTGACTGAGGTTTCAAAGAGAGTCAATCTGTTTAATTCCATAGCTCCCACTTTTCATTGTAAGAGCAAAACACAAAATTATGGCATATTAATATGACCTGATGTTAATTTCATTTTTTCTTTGATGTCACAATGGGACCAAAGGAGATACAAAGACTGTCCCTCATCATAGGAACACAGATTTACTGATCAAACTTGTCAATCTCTTAGGTTTAACAGAAAATCTTACCTCAAATTCTTACTAACATTTTTCTTCAGCTTGTGTAAGTAAATAAACACAGATTTTTACCTGGATCTGTGAGAGAAGTAAGAATTCTATTCCTTTCTGAACAGTGTATATACTTGGTTAACCTTAGGTTTGAGGATTCTTTATAAGGTAATATGGCATTTAATTGATACAAAAAATAGTAACTTTGCTCATATTATAGTTGACAAAGCACTTTTCATATATGTTAATTATATTACTCTCCAAATGATATTTTGAAATATTATTATAATTATTTCCTTTCTCCAGATGAGAAAACCAGGGTTCCAGAAAGAGGAAATGAATTGCCCAAAGTCACACAGTTAGTAAGAGATTGAGGAGAACCTCAAACCTGATGTCCCAAAACTCATGCATTCCATTGTTCTGCAGAGTCTCTCATATACCACTTAGTCACTAATATTTCAGCAAAGCCAAATGAGAGACACATGTAGAGTGTGACTATCATCTTAGAATCAGGAGTTTGTTGAGCTGGAAAGAATCTTAAATAACATCTTACCTAATCCTTACATTTTACTAGCTGGGATAGAACCAAGCTGGTCAGTCAGAGTTGACTTTTTGCCCTACCATAGAGTCTCCCTGAGGAGTTGTTCATGATGGGTAAGGTCACAGTCATATTTAGGAGGAGAGACTGAGTCAGAGTGGCCAGGCAGGAGGGTGCTGGGACAACACAGGCTTGAGGCCAACCATCAGAGCTTAAACTGGGAAGCTGGTGGTAGAAACTGTAAAATCAGGGCCACTTGAGAAACATCTGGGATGAAGAATCAACACACTATTCTTTACAGAGCCCAGGGCACTGTTAACGCAAACAATGGTCAAAATTAGTAAAGAGAAAAATTACCTCATAGCTGAAGTTGATATAACCAGGGTGCCCAGGATGAGGTGGTAGCTTTTATAGGGAGGAGGAGAGAAGAATAGAAAGAGAGGAAGGGAGAGAGTGAAGGAAGGGAAGAGAGGAAGAGATTAAGTCAATATGCAATTGTTCACATTAAAGGAGACCAAAGCTACTTTTTAAAAATCTATATAGTGCAGAATATATTTGAGATCTGTTTTTAGTTTGGACAAATGTACCATGTAGAAGAGGAGACCTCTGAGTTTAAAGAGGCCCAGAACAGCTAAATGACTGTCCCTGGGGTTATAGTCTTACAGTTGGAGACCTGGAAGCAGAAACCAGCACACATTTACTCTCCAGTGATCTTTGGACAGCATCCCACCCCAACCCCCTGTGTTGTCGATGAATCCTACCCTATCCCACCCAACACTTTACTTTCTGATCAAACTCACCCCATGTTGAAGAGAGAAGTATGTTTCTCTTATACAATAAAGAAATATCAACAAGGAGAGAATTGTCTCACAAATGTTCCCTTGTAGATCAGGAGGTGGTCAAGTACTTGAAGTATCAAAGGGATTTCTCATATTTGACAAGCAAAGTAAACAACACATCCATACAACAAAAGAACCCACAAAAGAAACCACAAGGTGGGACTTATTGATGAATGCCAGAACAAGATGGGTGGAGCAAAGTGGAAACATTATAAATCTCGTGGAAAATGAAAGAGTTGATTTATGATGCTTAGGCCAATCTTTTTTATTATTCTGCCAATGGTTTTATAGCAGAAAAATTTTTAAGATAGAAATGCCACCTGAATGATCTGAATCAGGGCTGTCTATCCTCTCAGAAGTGGGGACCAAGTGTCTGGTGCCTGCATTGTGGAACTCTGGTTGTGCCTGGGGTCCATGTGAGGGAGAGGAGAGATGGTCCTACAGAAAATCTCCCTTGAACATTGGCTTCATTTAGGATTGGCTCTATTATATCCTTTAAAAATGCTTGTATTTCATGGGAGGGTTTATTCACTCTCATCTGTATGTCAGTGGTTTTAGTCAGGTCCGTCTTGATCAATATACCATCTTGATCAATACCATCTTAGAGAGTGGGAAAAAGGCTGAATTTGTAATGCAGGGACCCCTCAGGCAACTAGGAATTACCACAATGCAGGATTTCAGGAAGTCAGAGCACAGAATCTTGGTTTTGTGGGTGAGAGAGGAAGAGAGGAGGCAGGTATGCAGGCTTGCTGGCTTCTGGTTGTATCAACTGCTCTTTATGCTACCAAAAAGCAGATGCAGCCTGCTTGGCATGCATGTGATCTAAGTTCTCTGCCCTTATGCACCTGTGCCCAGACAGAGTAGATCTGACGTCCTGATCTTTAATACATTTGAATATACAATATATCACTATGTATTGGGTGTAGGCAGGATCCCGGGCAAGAAAACCACTTACTTACCAGATGCACCCAAAAAGGTGGGGACTCTGAGAACAGGAAGGTGGCTCAAGAAATGGATTCCTAACAGAAAAATCTTACCCCCTGTGGGGTAACAGCAACAATATGTGGAGGGCAGGAAGAAATTTGGAAACTTGAGAGGAATTGGTTTTAGACAAAACTGACATCTCTGTAATATTTGTCCAAAGCTGGTGAAGCACTTTCTCTAGAGACCTTTCAAGGCTCCCTTCCAAAGCTTCCTCCATCTAGAGATGGGTGGTGATACATACAAGCTAATGGTTTCAACAGAATCTCCAGTGGTGCTTATAAAAATATAGAGTCCTGGGCCCCACCCCAGCTGTACCAAATCAGAATCTTTGCTGGAGGCATTTGAGAATCTATCTTTTTAAAATAAGCTCCTGAAGTGTTTCTTCAACCCAGAGACGTTTGAAGACATCTTACCTCATACTGTTTTAAACCCTAACTTCACCAACCATGGGGCAGACTTTTATCGCTAAGCTTATAAAATTGGACACTGACTTATGCAAGGGGTGTTTTACTCACAGGCATGGCAAAAGCTGCTCCCAGGAGGCAGGCAAACAAAATCCAGGTCCCCATTTCTTGATGGTTCTGAAATGTAAGTCAACATCCACTTTTCTTATCTCTTCTGAAACATGGACTTAATGAATGATCCATAAAACACACATAATCTGTATTAGTCTACTGCTAGTCAGAAAGATGGAGCCATTCTTTGTGCATTTACTTCAGACGTATGTGATTTCCAGCTCTCAGCCTATTTCATTGTTTCTGGAGTCACAATAGTGATAAAGTTACATTTAATTTAGGTTGAGGGCTGAACAAGTTACAGGGACATGAATGACCTATCCTTATATGACTTTGCATGCCATTTTCCTATGCCTATACAGCCTATAGTCTTAGAAGCTAAATGGTATTTATAATTAATGAGTGAAGGAATAAAGTTGGCTCTGAAGGATGGGGAAATCACCAAAGTGCACAGTATTTTATAATTTCGGAACAAGGAGGCACAGAAATGTATCTTACACAGTCTGCTGGGGCATTACTACTGTTAAAAACTAATCATTTGAGAGAGGTATTAATTTGCCAAGATAGTAGATTTTAGTTCCAGAAATTCCTATCTATAGATCTTCAGGTAAGACCCTCCAGCAACATCTCTGAGCTCCAGATTGTGGAGCAAAAGATATAGCTGAACCAACAGGAGAGGATAGTACTAATTTTCTGTGATTCTTTAATAAATTTTGAATAATTTCTCCCTAAGAGGTTGCATTTTCTGTCAATGAAATCGTCTTTTTGTTTGATGTTGCACTGAATTATCCTATAAATAAGACCCTTAGGATATTAAGCAAAACAGGTCATCCTAAAATGTGGACATTGATTTATGGCACAAATTATTGACTAACTTAGAAAACCGTCAGAAGAAAGACCTTAAATTTTGTATAGGAAGTGAATTTTTTTTTTTTTTTTTTTTGAGACGGAGTTTCTCTCTTGTTACCCAGGCTGGAGTGCAATGGCGTGATCTCAGCTCACCACAACCTTCGCCTCCTGGGTTCAGGCAATTCTCCTGCCTCAGCCTCCTGAGTAGCTGGGATTACAGGCACATGCCACCATGCCCAGCTAATTTTTTTGTATTTTTAGTAGAGATGGGGTTTCACCATGTTGACCAGGATGGTCTCGATCTCTTGACCTCGTGATCCACCCGAGGCCAAGGCCTCCCTCGGCCTCCCAAAGTGCTGGGATTACAGGCTTGAGCCACTGCGCCCGGCCAGGAAGTGAATATTACATGGAATAATGCTGCCTATGAAAAGTACACTGAAATTTTCTACCTCCTAAACTTTTTTTTTTTTTTGGTTTGGGTTAGTGAGAAAAAACATTTCATTGATGGTTCTATTTTATGTAATTAAATAAAAAGCTTTCCAAAGTACTAGATCACAGCCTGTGAAAGTATTATTTTTACTTTAATTGGTAATTAAAATAAATATTTTACTGTGAAATGTGGCCCCAAAACAGCTTTGGAATTAGACAAGCACTTTGTTGCATTAGAAAGTAAAAAGAAAAAAAATCATTTCAGTAATCAGAGTCTAATTTAATTATGGGCCAACTAAAAATTAATTATTGATGGCATATAGTATTAGAAATGTAGAAGACATTTGTATCTTTTAAAAGCAATGCAGAGAAATAAGCACAATAAAACGAATATCAAATTAGAAATAAAATCCACATACCTTTGAATGTATTCAGTGTAAGTTTCTGTTTGAAACTCAGGGATGCTTGATCCTTTAGATTTCTTCCAACTATGGGCTCAATTTATATCAGTCATGGCATCTAGAACAACCAATCCGGTTTCTGAAGGAAAAATGTGTTGAGTATAACTAAAAGTCCCTGTATCATGAATTTTTCGAAGCTATGATCAGACATAAGGTTGTATGTTGTGATTAGTTCATATTGGAATCTTTCATTATGGCCAATAATAGGTTTAACAGGCAAGGAGTTTCATCTGGCTCTTCTGAAGTCAGCAAATCAGTTGACTGCACATGTTGATATATTCAAATTTATTTTTAAGAAGCTGCTCTGCCATCATCCTTTCCTCAGTTCTAGCATACAACATTGTTCTTTACAAAAATCAAGCTAGGTGGTTGAGATTCTCTAGTGTAATCTGGATATCCTCAAGGATTTTTCTGGCCCTTTCAGATTAGGCTAAATTGATTCAAATTCCCATTCTGGTAAAAATCCAAAGCCCTCTAGTATCTCTCTGAGAAATTATACTATCAGGATCACCACTGCTCTGTTTTCTGCTTCCATTGAAGGTATTTTCTCTGTTCCCTTTGGCTGCTCCTTTATCACCACTCTAGTGTCCACCAAAACAAGGGACAAAGCCCCTTCTTGGCCCCATTCTGAAACCCATCTACCATAAAAACAATCAAGAACTTAAGGTTCTTTGGTTAGCAAAACTTTTACTGATGATCTGAAGCAAAAGGCAAGGAGTGTACACCAGACAGCACATTTAAAATATATTTTGTTCTTTACAAACAAACTCATGTCACAGGGGCTATTGTCCTGTCCCTCCGATCTCACAGAGCAACTCAGCCTCTCAGTAGGTGGCCCTTCTTTGCCCACATCCTTCTGGCTCAATCTCTCTCATACAGGCAAACCCAAATTCTTCTCTCGTTTTCAGAGCCTCTTAACTGTCTGGCTAGTTTCCATGTTCTCAGCAGCCTCTCTGTTCGCTAAACAATAACCAAAGCTGTTCACCTTCTAAAAGAACGTCTGATCTAGCTATTAAATTCATGTGTGTCTTACCCCTGTACCTTGGTATAACATGTGTGTTTTTTTCTTTTATTCTGGAATTTGATCAATTAGATTGACATAATTGAGCAAACTTGTAATTAGTGACAGGAGCTAACTGATGAGTTGTCCATCAATATTAGATCAATAAAGGAGATACTGAATGTCTACCCAGATACAGTTGATGTTATACCTGAATCTCTTTGAATACTCAAGTAATATTTATAAAGTTTGTACATATACGTGTGTGTGTGTGTGTGTGTGTGTGTGTGTGTGTGTGTGTGTTTGAGACAGAGTCTCGCTCTGTCACCAGGTGCCAGGCTGGAGTGTAGTAGCGCGATTTTAGCTCACTGCAACCTCCACCTCCCGGGTTCGAGCAATTCTCCTGCCTTAGCCTCCCAAGTAGCTGGGACTACAGGTGCATGCCACCGCACCCAGCTAATTTTTGTATATTTTTTTGTAGAGACGGGGTTTCACTATGTTGGCCAGGATGATCTTGATCTCTTGACCTTGTGATCCACCTACCTCGGCCTCCCAAAGTGCTGAGATTACAGGTGTGAGCCACCACGCCTGGCCGTACATATGTGTTTATATGTATATATACAAATCAGTTAGCCTGTCTGAGCCTCAATTTCCACATATGTAGATTGAGAATAATAATAGCACCTAGCTCAGGAAATTAGTGTGAAAAGAAGATGAGTGACATCTCTGGGGAAATGGAAGGCTATTTATTATTCTCTCCAACCCTGTCAGCTGGCATATGGTAAATGTTTAAAGAATGCTAATAAATAAGGTTTCAAGATTATCTTTGGGGATAAATTAGTAGAGCTGAATGTTGCAGAGAAAGGTAAGACCTTCAAATCAGGGAGAGAGAGATTGCAAAGAAGGAAGTAGAAGATTATAACAGGCAAAATGTATACATGAAAACAAACATAGAATATGAATCTAAAAGCCAAATGTGCCCAGGATTTGCATTTATTTAGAATATATTTATTGGTGAATTTTATAATGGAGACAAGAAGGATTCCCTTTGAAGGAAGTTGCAAAATGGACCTTAGGATGATTGGCAGGGGTGTGTAGCAAGGTGGTAAGGCAGAGGAAGGAAAATGTGGATCACATCATGTTTACTTTCAGTCTTTTTCCCCATTTTATATAATTACATATATTGGAGTGTGGGTAATCTCTACTAATGAAGTCATTGATTTATTACTAGTAGTCTTGTAGTTTTACAAAGATTGATCTCATTACTTTTTCTCACCTTTTAAGAATGAGTGGATGATATATTTTGCCATAATGATTAACAAGATGCTTTCTTAATGTGGCATTAATTCCTCTGGACAACTGGTTAATGAGTTACTGCTAATTCACCATGTACAGTTGAACAAGATTTGATGGCCAATTCTATGGAAATAATTGATTTTCCCCTACTGCATATCCTGAGTCATAGGACATTAAAATATGGATCTCTGTTTGAAATCTCTTCCACTAATTTAGGCCCCACTTGCACAGCTTAAAACTTGCTGAATGTTTTTGAGGAAAATGAAATTTCAATTGAAATATTTTCCCTATAAGTGATTATTTTATTTATTAATAAATTGATTTCATAAAATCATTCTTTTGCTCATTTTTTGTAGCAGGTATTATTTTTTCTTGACTTGCAGCCTATTGTGTCTTGCCATTCCCACAGTACTTGTGCTAGCAACTTCCCACCTTCTGATTTGCTGCTTCCTATTTATGGTATGCAGGAAAATCATATGCCCAAGCTTGTTAGAAGTATGGCTGAACTGCAAGTAAAGGAGCACTCAGTGGGGCTGGCCTGGGAGGGCCTTACCTGTCAGAAAAGCAAAGAAATTTCGGTTTTGTGACATTTATTTTTGACTGCTGGGAGGGTGTTTGGTTTGTTTTGGGGTTCCCCTCCCTGGCTTACTGCCTCGGTTTCAACAGCACTCAGCATATGAGGGTGGTCTATGGATAAGTCAGGTATTATGAGTTTGAAAAGCCTTTCTTATCATCTATGAGAGTTCTACACTTGAGTCTTCTTTTAAAGCATGCCCAGGGTTGTCCAATATTCTAGAATAATTTCAACAGTAAGTATTCTTAAGTAGCTGGAGCCAAAGTTAACTTTTAAATATTTTCTCTGTAGATGTTTAGTAATAAGAAAACATTCTCTAGGATAGTTTCTTGCTGGGGTAGAGTTGGAGTTGTATGGTCTTCAGATGTTAGGCACAAAACCTCCAATTAATTCCGATAAACATTGTAACTTTGACCTCGTTGCAACCCTTAGAAATCAGGTATTG